GAAATTTTCAGGCACACTTCATCGAATTGTGACTGAACCTCCGTGAAAAATTCAAAGGAAATTACACAGCGATTCTTCAGGACAAGATGTTAGTATCGATAGAAATTTGGCAACGTATGGAGACTCATACGCCGTTTCCCCTCGGAACGACAATTCAGCAGTACCGCGGGATACGCATGGCTGGGTGGCTCGAGGTTGAAGATACTGATACTGCCCTGTTACGGAAGAACGCAGTGTGAGCTTTCAGACGTTGTCAAGTGTCCTTCGATAAAATACGAATTTTCAGAGTTTACTGTGGATATTCTTCCTCCAGATTTTTAGGAACTTTTAAATTCAATCGGATCTAAATAATTTGAAAATTTCAAGAGAAAATATTCATAACTCTCCTGAACAAAAATCATTTCACCTGAAGAGATTTATCAACTCTGAAATGTTCATACGGTGTTTATCCTTAGCAAGACAGTATAATTATCCACCCGAGAGAACTTGCAGGACCTCTGCGGCTCTCTGTCCCAACATCAAAGCGTTAGAGGGGACGAGGGGGCTGAGGGAGGGGGGGGCAGGGGACGAGGGGCACCAGATCTCACACCCGTGAAAGCCTGCTCGCCCTCATCAGAGGGTGTTGCCACGTAAACCGCATTCGACGAAGAAAATGACGAAGTAAAGAAAAGGCGATACAAGCGTACGTTTTTCGACGATACAACTTCGTGCTTCCCGGTAGGTTCATTGCCTATGCGGCAAAATTGAAGGCGCAAAGTCAGAGGACCTACCTACCAATAGATTCAAACAAACCAAAGGATGGAGCGATGTAATCGTACGTTTTTCGACGATACAACTATTTGTGATTCCCGGCAGGTTTGTTGCCTATGCGGCAAAATTGAAGGCGCAAAATCAGAGGACCTAACTACCAACAGATTCATGCAGCGGTAGTTGGTGCACAATCAAAGGATGGAGCGATACGGTCGTATGTTTTTCGAAGATACGACTATTCGTGCTCTCCGGTAGGTTTGTTGCCTGAGCGGAAAAATTGAAGGCGTTGTTTTGTGTGTTAGGATAAGGGTTTAGGAAACGAAGGGACGCAAAGCACTAAAATGGAGATGTTGCATGTGTGAGGAATTTGCGATTTGACCGTTGATTCTTATGTAAAAGTTCGCGAGAAACACGATGGTGCCACTGGTTTCCTCTGAATTCAACTCCCAAGCTCAAAAAAAGCTCTCAAGTTGAGGCCAAAATGGAGGGGATATCCCACGCTATCCTGGGAGTCCACCTCTACATCAAGACAAACTCTCCATGCAAAGATAGGGAGCAAATACATTAGCAGTGATGCCGTGTTTTCAGTTTTAGAGTCCCGAAATAAAGTGGCAGCCCTGTCAATGTATTTGCTCCCTATCTTCGCATGGAGAGTTTGTCTTGATGTAGAGGTGGACTCTCAGGATAGCGTGGGATATCCCCTCCATTTTGGCTTCGACTCGAGAGCTTTTTTTGAAAATTCCTCACACATGAAACATTTCCATTGCCATTCAAGGAAATCTAAATTCTATTTTCTCGGTTGGACCAGAAAACATTCTCTGTGTTGCATATAAATCCCTGTTCAAGAATGCAGCTCTTATACAACTACTTTTGAAGACGAATTTGCGTGAAGGTTAACGAGGAAATTCGGGGGATGGTCTCGAAATCTTCCTGTGTTAAAACTACGAGGGATAGTACAAATCTCAAGTTTGACCTTGCGTTTGAATGTTCGGTGCGTCACTCGGGGGTGCACGCTCTGGCCGCTACGAGACTAAACCCTCTAAGAACACTCCGCGCCCTCAAACGGCTTCTTCTCGGATCATATCGTCGTTCCTCTGATGTAAGGGCGTATCTCTCTTTCCTCATGAGCCCCGGAAAGAATGGAATCAGATGGAAAACAGGGTTCAAGTGTATATCGAGATACGCCTTCATGCCAGAGAAACGACGCATTTCAAAAATCAAACAGAGCCAGTTCATCTACATGCCATTACCTGAAACCGTTGGATTAGGCCTGTTGGATTTGTAGAACAAATTACTATGACAAAAAATAAAACTTCGGGGAAGTAGATAATTTCACTGGGAAAAAAAAAACACATTGGATCTATAGTCCAGACTCTTGAAAACATTGACAAGAAAAAATACTCTTCATTCAAACGGATTTTTGATTGAATCAAAACGAAATCCGCTTAAATTAAGAGGCTTGGTTCTTGATTTAAGCTAGATTCTGATTGAATCAAGAGTACTTTTTCTTGTCGATGTTTTTAAGAGTCTGGATTCTAGATCCAATGTGTTTCTGTTTTCTCAGTGTTATATGCACGTGACTGTCCGGTGTCCACAGAGAAATTATTTTTAAAAGAGCGATTTTTGCCAAGCTGGGGCATAAAATCTGATTTTGGAATTTTGATTGAAACCTCTCATCAGTATCCAAAGAACAAGTTACGAGAGGTTCCATTCATTATTTTGCTCATAGAATGTGTGACATTGCATTATACGCCAAACTTTCGTCTTCTGCACACGACAGAATAACTTCAGTTGTTTTCTCTCAAAACTACGTTTTCTTAATTTTCAAAATTTAAACCACCATGACTTCGCAGTTTGGTTCAACATTTACGGACGCATTTCGTCCCAAAATTTTAAAGGCGGATGCCTTCGTGGTCAGGTATCAATGACCCCTTCTTAAGTTTGAATTTTTGTGGATTAAGGTTCCCTTTCCTATGGACTGTCACCAATGGCGTGGCGTGCTTCGCGATCTATTGATTGGTCTGCAATTTAAACCTATAGAAAATTATCGATTAACGGGGTGTTTGCGACGTGCGAATCGATTATTAAAGTTACCGATTCTTTACCACAGCTTCAAATGGGGAAATATCGATAATCGATCATTAACGCCTCGCCACTGACTCTCGCATACGATTATCTTTCATACATTCAACGCTGATTACTATTAACATTTCAAATTTTGAAATGCTCTGGCAACGTGCACAGTTTCAGTACATCGAACAAAATGGAGAAAAAGGTAGGGGGGGGGGTGTTCGATGCTGGGTCCATCGAGGAGCAAATGACTCGGAAGGGTCATAGGGTTCTCTTCTGCACGGCTGGCGATGACCATTCGCAGGCGAGACGCCCCTTCAACTCGGCGCTACGCAACCCGCCACCCACTCACACTCACAACCCGCTTCACAGCCTTTGTTCGAGCGTTTATCGAGTTGGCTCGGTGTTGAGGAAAACACGCTACCTTACGGGCACACTACCCTGCCGCCGTGCTAAGGTAAAGCGCCGTATGAGCATGCGCATGTTGCCAAATCAGGGTGTCTAGTATTTTTTAATGTTGAAAAATCCTGATATTTTATAGAAAATTCCTGATTTTTTCATTTTGAAAAATCCTAATATTTTATACAAAATTCCTGATTTTTTCATTTTGAAAATTTCTGATATTATCCTGATTTTTCTTGACTCCTGGCACGGTAGGCAAAAAGTAGTAAGACTTTCTCCGCTGAGGAGATTCGCATAAGAAAAAATCCTGATAAAACGTCCGATTTTCCTGATATTCTCCTGATTTTTTCCTGATCGGCCAAAATTCCTAATATTTTCCGGTTTCTCCGGTTTTTCTTGATACTAGACACCCTGCAAATCGCCTCTCAGAAACTATTAATTTCTTTGGAAGGTTATGCGTATTTTTCCTTGAAATTTTCAGAAACTTTAGATCAAATCACGAACAAAATTCTTAAAAAATTGGGGGACAAAAGTTTACAAATATTCCCAAAAATTCAAGATTTGGCAACCCCTGAAGGCTCATACGGCGTTTTTCTTTGGCACGGTAGAACCGGGTTCAGGAAACGAAGCACATTGGAACGAGTCTATGGGAGAAATCGGGATAAATTTTGAAACTTTAAAAGCTCAAATCCCTGTCATTACAAAACGCAGAGGTCTTAAAAGTGGTGCTGTTGGTTTTCTCGTGAAATTTACTTGAGGAAGCACCCCCTCAAACTTTAAAATCTCACGTTGTAAATATCTAAATTTGCAGTTTTAGTAAAAAAAAATCCATGTCTCCTATTGATTCGATTCACTGTGCGACTTGCGGTCATTTCCAGGTTTCTAGATTTTACGTGGGCAAAATATTTATTTTCACAAGACTTATAAATATTTTACTTTGAAGTTTTTAGACGGAGTAGATCGACTTAAGAACGAAATCCTCGGCAAAATGTTGAGAAAAACGCACATGAACTCTTTAGAAAAATCGGTTTGTGCCAGAAGAATTGGAATTGAACTTAAAAATGCTCATACGACGTTAGTGCTTGACACTGCAGCATGTTTGTTCGGATCTGGGCGTGAAATCGTTTAAAACTGATATGCCAACATCCGATTTCTTCCCAGGTTTGTGCTCGTGTTAAATATGAGGCCAAAAGGCCTAACTGTGTGGAAAATATGAAACGAATGGTTTTTTCGGCCCTGCATTATTTAAAGAGGCAGTTTCATATTCGAAACATTGACATTTTACAAACTTTGCTGGGAGACGGGTTTTCAGGGTAATTGAGTTATAACACTAAACGTGTTTTTCAGGATAATTGAGTTATGACTAAACGTGTTAACTGCATTGAAATAAATAAAATTTTTTTTTCTAAAGTAAGTATTGTCCCAGAAGCTGGAACAACCGTGACTCCAGTTTCCAATTTCCCTTTTGAGTTTTCCCAGCGATTGCTGGATTAAGGATTTTTGACTCAAAACTCAAATTCTTCGAGTTTATCGTGCAGGCATTCTGTGACATAAATAAATAATGATAATATCTCAATGCACTCGTTGATAATAAGGTCCAATCACTAAATTATTTACTAAATTATGCGTCGTTCTGTCAACGTGAACATGTTATTGAACTCTGAGATGAGCTCGTAGTCCAAATAGCACAATAGCACCCATCGTTTCTGGAGCTCATGTGAAATTGGAGTTACGTTTTAACAACAGCAGGGATATGTATAATCATATTAAAGACTCACATTGAACAACGTAAGCTCCTAACTCGGCCGCAAGCTCTGGAGTCACTGGAAGTCGTCCTTGGAGAATATCTTGTTTCACTTGCAGGAAAAATTGATACCTGAAACATTGAATGAAAAACACGCTCGAATAAAATATGTTTTCTATGAAACAAAGTATTTGCGTTATGAGCCGAATCAGGCAGCCGGGTCATATGGACGTATTTATGCTAAAAAGAACTACACCGAAAAAAAAATTGGCCTCCGGCCAATTTATGCGCGGCGCTTCGCGCCGCGTACCGGCGCTACGCGCCGGCATTTGGGGGGCTTCGCCCCCCCATCCGCTTAGCGGAGTGGTGCGGGGACCGCACGGGACTTTCTCGCTCGAGCCGGCATAGACACTTTTACTGGAATATTTAGAAAAATACTGCCAATTTTACAAAATCATAAAGTTTGATTGGAATTTTGATCACAGGATAATAGTTATGAAATTTGTATTCAAACCATTGAACTTCATTGTAAATGTCTTCGCGATATGTGGTGAATTCATATATTCGGACTCGACTTGTTGATTTTATGAGGCATCTTCAATTAAATATGTAATTGATTAACTAAGTCTCCTGTCAAAGATGGCGATCCGTAAAAATCTTAGCTTNAAAAATTGAAGTTGATTTAACATTCTAGATGTAAAAAAGGTGTGCGAGAACTTGAGAAATGCTGAATTACCCGCCACAGCAGTTAGTTTTACATTTTGGCATTGCTAAATTAACTGCTGTATCGGTTAATTCAGCATTTTATAAGTTCTCGCACACTTTTTATTACATCTAGAATGTTAAATTAACTTCACTTTTTTTTCGGTGTATGTTGTACAAAAATTAAATGCATTTAGATTCTTCTAGCATAAATACGTCGCGATAATACTTTACATGGACTGATCTTTGTCGATTAAATTAACGATTAGGGGCTGGGGAGGAGCTTTTGTACGGTGAAACTACTAAGCCACGTACATCGTTTGCGGTGTTCAAAAATCTCCGCTCCCATTTTACTTTTTGGCGGAGAACAAAGCGATTTCATTCCTTGGATTTTCCACACAGTTATCTTCACACAGAGAGGAAAAATCGCGGGTTTTTAAAAAAATTGACGTTGAACGGCTTATACGAAAAAAAAAATATATGACAGGAAGTCTGCAACGTCTCGAACTGAGATACGTGGTCTAGTGGCGTGGCGTGCTTTGCGATGTATCGATATTTCTTCATTTAAAGCTATGGTAAAGAATCGATTAATAAGGGGTTCGTTGCGAACACCCTGTTTATCGATCCTTTTCAATAGGTTTCAATGGCAGATAAATCGATATATTGGAAAGCATGCCACTGAGGTCTGGTAGTTTCACCGTCGATTTCGGTTCATTACTACGCAGATCGATTTTAATGTCAACCTGCGATAACTATGGGGAATGAACAAATTTTTCCTTAGTAACTAAGCGTCATTTTTCATCTTTTAATCCATGAAATCGAAAAAAAATAAATATTTACCATCCAATTTTCGTTGTTAGAGAAAGGTTACTTGGTGGCAGCCCATGTTTTACCGTTGCGCATAAAATGGGCCACGTTTAATGGAGATACATCAAATCGCTTTCAGTTTGAACCAGGTTTCAAGTTTGAAGTTTCATTTATTCATAAAACTTAGGTAATGTTAAATGTGAAGTTTGACGTGTTTTCAGGCTAAAAAATGTTTTCTCGACTTTGAATTTTAGCCAGGAAACGATGCAAGACTAATTGCATTAAACTACGTCAAACTCTTTTCTTTTCAAAATGCGGCATGGTAACTGGTAAGTTCCTGCTGAACTTGGTCCAGTTCGTTACTCCTATGGCGTAAGGGCGTATCTCAAATTCCGCATGAGTCCCGGCACGGTGGTTTAGAAGCAAAAAAAATGCGACGAAAATATACCCCAAAATGGTTTGCTTGGGGTGAGTCCACACACTTAAAATCGCAAAAAATCAAAATCTTGGCTAATACTATTTTCTAAAAACGCGATTTGAAATTTTCATAGTAAATGCAACTTTTCTACTGATCTTGATCCACTTTTTATTTATTTGTACATTGAATCGCTGTTGATCGGTTCACGTTTTTATTTTTGTTCGAATCATGTCGATCGAATACATGCCCTCTCTTTACACACACACTTCCTTTCATACTCTTTTTTTTATCCAAAAAATTCGCCCTCTGCTGCGTCTGCGGCAATTGTTGTTACGAGTATGTTGTGCGTGCTAGTTTCAGGTCATTACATACTCGACTCTCTGAAGGCGTTTTATGTGCGAGAGCAATTCGCCTTCAGAAAGTCGAGTATGTAATGATCTGAAACCAGCACGCACAACATACTCATAACAACAATTGCTGCAGACGAAGCTGAAGGGGAATTGCTCTCGCACATAAAACGCCTTCAGAGAGTCGAGTATGTAGTGACCTGAAACCAGCACGCACAACATAATCGTAACAACAATTGCCGCAGACGAAGCTGAAGGCGAATTGCTCTCATACATAACACGCCTTCAGAGAGTCGAGTATGTAATGACCTGAAACCAGCACGCACAACATACTCAGAGCAACAATTGCCGCAGACGCAGCGGAAGGCGAATTTTTCGGTTAAAAAGAAAGAGTATGAAAGGAAGTGTGCGTGTGACGAGAGGGAATGTATTCGATCGACATGAATCGAACGAAAAATAAAAACGTTAACCGATCAACATCGATTCAATGTACGAATAAATAAAAAAGCGGATCAAAATCAGTAGAAAAGTTGCATTTACTATGAACATTTCAAATCGCGTATTTCGAAAATAGGATCAGCCAAGATTTTGATTTTTTGCAATTTTACGTGTACACGTTCTATAAACTCACCCCCTGCAAACCATTTTTGGATAAATTTTTGTCCCATTTTTTTTTTTTTTTTTTTTTTTTTTTTTTTTTTTCCCGGAAAGTATGGATTTATATGAAGAACAGGGCTCACATGAAAATTGGGATACGCACTTACGTCATAGCGACGAATTGAGAGGACGATTCCCCGCCTCTTTTTAAAAATCTATAAACTGTCCATTTAGGGGAAATTTGGGCCTTAGCAGGGCTCAAAAAACACGCATCCGATTTAGGAAACTCCAGGTTTCCAAAAGAGCGATAAATTATAGGTACGAGAAAAGTGTGATTCTCGGTAAAAATGTCAAATTAGAGTTTGTTAAGAACAGTTTTGAGAGGTTAGAACTTAAAAGGTCTTGTTTACATTGATTTCTGGGAGCTCCAAGAAAGTCTACAACTCGCATAACGCAATCTCAAAGGGGTATGGATTTGCGGTGTTAAAAGGATAGGAAAGGCATATCTCCCTGTGTATAGGAATATCCACGGAGAAACTACCAGAACACGTATCTCGGTTTGCGATGTTGCAGTCTTCCTATCATACTTTACTTTTTAAATTGAAAACTACTTGTAGTCAATTCTTGACGACTTCCGTGATTTTATTGATCCCCATCTACCAAGAATTCTGAAATAATATCCTCTTTTCATTTTACCCGTCCTTATGTTACATTTTTTTTCTTGATTAATTCTTTATTACAATTGATCCAATTCAAAGCGATTTGAGAAAACGGAAGAAAAGTCGGTGAAAAAATGAAAACGTATAATCGTAGTATGTTGCATTTATTGGCTCTCAAATGACCAAATAAATCACAAAACCGTATACAAAAAATAATTTTCTAAAATTTGTGCAAAAACACAACAAAATGCCATAAAACGAAGTAATACCATGTATGAAGATGGCGGAAAAACTGACATAAGTTTTAAGTAAATGATATCGTTGCGTTGTACATTCGTTCGATGCAAACTTTAACTTACGACGCCCTGACAACGGATGGTTCGTTCACACTTCCAAGTTATAAAATTCCAATAGAAATTGTACTAAAACACACAGTGTTAAGGTAATTCTATGGACGCTATATTTTGTGTCAGAGCGACATGCTATACATCGCATCGAGTAGTTCCATTTGTTCAGCTACTTGTAATTTTTCTCGAATTTTGAGATCGCAATTCTGTTGTCAGGAGACCATAGACAATTTGACAAACAAATAGATTTTGACAAACAAATTCAGCGCAATAAAGGCGTGGTTTCTTTTCGAGGAAAAATATCGCATTCAATACTGATATCAAAACTGCACTCAAAATCTATATTTTTCCTCTAAAAAAACCTCGCCTACATTACGTTGAATTCGTAGGTCAGAATTTTGAAGCGAATTCTTTGGTCGCCTGACAACAAAATTGCGATCTCAAAATTCGAAAAAAATGACGAGTAGCTGAAAAAATGGAACCAATCGATCCGATATATCGCAAGTCGCTTTGACACAAAATATGGGGTCCATCGAATCACCTTAAAAATAAATAAATTAATTTGAAACTGCCTCGTTGTAATCATTCATTTTCATATTACTGAAAGCAACTGCCAAATACCCACATGACAAATCTACCCGTCCAAGACGTTGGATATGCTGGAACGTAGTCCACCGGTTGAAGCAAGAACAGCTTCTTGAGAAATTGGTACAATGGACCAGCGACGAAAAATTGCAGAACAAAACGATAGCTCGCATAAAAAGTGAAGTTCGTAAGACAAAGGGAAATAAAGGTCCATAGGCACAGGACTGTCATAACGTCCAATTTCCTCTCTGGATAGACTACATCGCCCAATATACATTTCCGCAGGGCTACCGGAACCAGTTGGAAATACTCCAACAACAAGTTGAAAAGGAATCGCGACCAGCCTTCGGTGGTTCTTGCTTCCCATCGTCGAAGGAAGTCCAAGTCCTCGGCAAGGCCCAGGGTGAGGGGGAAATGTAACGTGTACAAAACTGTTGTAGCCATGATTAAAGCCGGCAGCCCAATTATAACGTCAGCTGGCTTTACTTCGAGGAGAAAGTTGATGGTGTTTTGGAGATAAGAGAGCACTGTTAGAAGGATAATCGTCAATTTCAGGCATATTAGACGCATTGTGGCTGCAAACAAGAACTATTTTAATTTAGCTTCGAGAGATTTACAACTAATCAAGAATCAACTAACAAGTAAACTTTGGGAAACGGACGGAGGGTTT